TCGTTCGTCTGTCCTTCGGTTTAGTCGTCTATCTATCCGACGCGCAACTACCACCCCTAGTGACTCCCGAAGCGTGACTCCACACTCTGTCCCGCTCCACGTCTCGATCTTTCCTCTGGTCTGTCTTGCTCCACCTCGTCACACTCCCTCTCGCCCCGTTTCATCCCTCTTCACTCTCTCTCTCCGTTGCACGGGGTCTGTCTGTGTCCTCGGTGTACCTACGTAGGCTCTGCGTGCGCGAATGTTCGAGTGGCGGCCCTCGTTCGTGTGACCTGTGGTTTCTCCGGCGTTTTCGCTACCCTTAGTGCGAGCACAGTGCCCATCCGCAGTCCATCATCCGACACGATACGCGAGTACCTCTCTCCGGCATATTCCCTTCTGATGATTCTCTCCCGCTAGTGGTCGGTTCAACGACGATATCCTTGCTAACCCTTCGGAGTACGTTGTGATCGCTACAGGTTTGCGTTGCTCAAGTGACAAGGAACCAGTGACGATAAAATCCGTTCGAGTATCCTCTCTCGCTGACACAACAGTGCGAGGAGGAGGAAGTATCGAGAAGGAGGAGAGGGTGAAAGAGGACGACGTGAAAAATAGGAGTAGCGGTATATTCCCTTCGGTAGGAAGACACACCGGTGTCCAAGTGATTAACGACCAGTGGAAGAGAAAGTGACCCGAGGAAGTGACTCCGTGTTACTCTTCGCGGTTTTACACGCACGGCAACGTCTCGCGAATGGACTAGCGGCGAAGAGGGGAAGAGAAGACCTGGCAGGAGCGAGGAGGAGGTGGAGGAGGAGAAGAGGCGAAGAGGAACGTGGTGGCTACGTGTCAGGCTTGGTGGATAGGAGGAGGAGGTGGTGGTGGTAGGAGGAGGTGCTGACACACGCTCGTACAGAGACACACGGAACAAGGGGTGGTGTTGGTGGAGAGAAAATAGAGGTGGTCGAAGGACGAGAGGGGTGGTGAACATAGAGAGAGGGTGGCACTCGAAAGGGTGGGCCCTCCAAGTGTCTTGTCTCCTATCATCCTGTCGTCCAGGGTATCGCTTACGAATGTCGCGCGATCGAGCGATCCGTCTCCGATCCAGCACGACCAGGAGACCGTCCTGTCGTTGCTAGCTACCTGCTAGCCTAATCATCCTAGCCAGTTACGCCAGTACGAGCTTGTCGGTGGATCGTGTACACACACACACACCTACTCTCTCTCTCTCTCTTGATATGCCGCGTTTCGAGCCTCTCCGCGTGTCGGATAGACCAGCTTGCCCCGCCGTCGGAGCGTCGTCGACGGAGGAGCAGCCTGTGCGGTTCTGACGGGACGAAACAGCCGGGACAACGATCGTGTTCAGTGGAACAGGTGATTGCACGGTGGACTCGTGTGTCGTTAGAACGGAATCTCGCGACAAGATTGCCTTTGGACGTGATTCGACCATGTCTGGCGAGACGGAGATCGAAGTGTCGGTGGTGTCTGAGGAGGATCTCGAGTTGGAAGGGTCTAGGAGTAGTTCTACGCCGGCCGAGCTACTTCTACAAGAGAAGAACGGTAAATCCGGCTGCGGGTTGAACAACCATCACTCGTTCAGCTTCGACGTGGGAAAACCGGCACTCAGACCAGCCTGTAATCCTCAGTACACGTCGTTCAGCATCTCCAGTATACTCGGCAGGCCCGAATCACCACCGGTCGACTCCACGTCGACCGTGTCCGCTGAAAGACAGTCCTCCGACGTCGACAGAGGCTCGCCGTTGCAGGCGAACAACGCGCAAAACTCGCAGAGGATTGGCTCTTCCTGTGATAGTCCCGCCAGAGGATTGTCCTCTCCTACGTCCTTGAGATTCTCGAGCAGTCAGAGGGGAACCTCGACGGTTGGACACGCGATAGAGGGAAGGAATAACGCGACTAGTATCGGGATCGGGTGTGCTACCAGTGCTACCAGCCCGGCGTCCACGTTCTCACCTCCTAGCGACGCCGCAACAAATCCATTACTTGGTCATCAAGCGTCGGCGGACCTGGCGATGCTATCGAGGTATGTTTTCGTCTATTGTTCGTCTGGTTTTTACGGTGTTTATTCGCCAATGGAAGTACCACTTCGTTGAGAACACTCTCTCGGTCTACTCAGAAATCTGTTCAAATTTGGTGATTCGGTTCGTGGTGCACAATCAAGTGGAGGATCAGTGGGTGTTGAAAATCGTTGAATAGGTCACCGGGTAGTCTCGCACAACACGATGCACTCCTTAAGTATCAGAACAGTTGGTAAATGTGGAGTGAAGTTGAAACGTTGCTAAGAAGTTACGAGGAATCGTTGTATAAATTAAAAGAAGTGGTGAGAAATGTTTAATATAGTCGCCTGTTGTAAACACAGTAGGTGTTCTGACACTTACAACCGCGATTGTGTGTAAGTTAGTACATTGAAAGACTCTATTTAGATTTCTGTCCGATGAGAAACTTGAGACATCGTCTTCCGTCGGATTGTAAAATCGAAACTCGCCGCAACTAACCTTGAAACGTGCCCCATTTTCGATACACCTCGTACAACATTGCCCCCGATCGAGGACCAAAAGAGTATAAAGCTTGGGGCAAAATGAAACGCTCCGAACGGTATTTATCGACGATCCACAGGGTATAGTTTATCCGGCGCGCAACTAACGGTTCACGCGTACGCGTCGATACAACTAAATGGAGCTATCAATGTTTACTAATAAGGAATTAGCGCGCGCCATCAATTTTATATCTGTGCCGTAATGTCGGCCGATCGTCGGACTCGCGATAACTATTTCATCGATGATTAACGTCGATCACCGCGCGAATACAAACCCTCGAATTCGTCTCACCCCCAAAGAAACACACCCCTGAATTAACAAAAGAACACACACAAACACCTCGAAAGTAAAGCTGAAGAAACCTGACGAAGCTACAGGCGCGAAGAGAGAATCTCAAGGAAATAAGCCTCGATCACAGAGATCAACTCCTCAGACGCGATAAATCAAAGCAACGGGGCTCTCTTCGAATAACAACATCCGAACGGAGGAAGAATGTGCGTTCTCGAATGACCAGCTTTCGACGATGTTGTCTTTTCCGTCGGGAGAGAACGATGTCGGCCCCTTCTTCGAGTGACGATCCAAAATTAGAAGTGGATGTGCCGGGTCGAGTAGAAAGGCGGTTTCCATGAACCGCAGATGAAATTTTCGTGGGCGTGAGAGTGTCTCTGTCTCCGCGCGAAGGAAGAGACACACAGGAGGAAGAGAGTGCGATGGTTAATTTAGAGGAGTGTGTGTGTGAGGGGAGTGATAAAGTAGCGGGAGAGAACGCGTGCTGGTGCTCGCCTGGGCTTCGGATTATATTATTTGGGAATGGACCGAGGGGTCCGTAATGGGCCTATTAGGCTGTCTCATTTAATAACAACCGTAGCAACAACCACCCTCTTACATTACTTACGTTACTTAGGGCCGTCCGGGCTCTATATCGGATATATCTCGGTGAGGAACTCGAGCCAGGCCGCGCCACAAGGGGCTGCCGCCGAGGGTTCCAGATGATTTTATCAGATTTACACTACCCCTACTCCTTTCGATTGACGGCTCCCCGCTATATAACCGACTGGTTGCTTGCCTGCCTCGTTGGGCTGCCCTCTCGTACTTCTACACTCGGTTCGATGCCTCCAATTGCTTGTTTTCCACCCGTTTACCATTTGATTAAGTTCCACTCGAACCGGCTTGCAACGCCACTCTCGCGCAGGGAAAAGAAACATTGTTTACGATGGGGCACGGCGGTGTCATCGTGATGGGGGAAGATTCGTCGGAGGATCTCGCTCGATCGTTTGTGATTTCGAGGAATTTTTCGGATTTCTTTTAGTTTTCCTTTTGGATTACGTGAAATGGGTACTCGAGCGAAGAATATTTCTTCTTTTCAATTTGTGAAACTTAAGTTTGGAGTGAGCTGTCTTCTTGTTTTACACGTTATAAGAACGTTTCAGTGAATCGGGTACCGTTGACGTAATCGCTGACGTGAATTCTGAGCGATTCATGGGGCTCGTGGTAATCTAACGAATTAATCTATTATCTATATCTCAGTGCATCGTTTTCAACGTTAAGTTACAATGGTACGAAGAGCGCCACGTACCGAGTGTCTCTTTACAATTTCATTTGACGTTCAATATTGAACACAGAAAATTGGAAAAATGTTCGAAAACATTGGATCTGTTACCAATTAGTTAGAGAACTTCTTAACCCTAGAGCTGTCTTCGGGTCTTTTTTGACCCACCGTCTTTTTATACTTTTAGTAATTTTTCTGTTATCGGTTTTACGTTCCTTAACATTATTTTAAACGTTTATCGTCTAGGCTCATATGTCGCGTTGGAAGCAACAATTGTTACACATAAGGTCTTAGGTCCTTTTTCGCCCAAAAGTCTTAAGTGTACAGTCGAAACGAAGAACGCACTAGGGTTAAATATCTAAAATTCTGCAATGCACAGTGTTCTCCAACTTTGCTCTCGATAAGACGTTAAAGACACAAACCAGACTTTACCATAATCGCACGCTCGGTGAACCCAGCAAGAAGTTCGAATAGAAACAGACAAAAAGCTGGCATTAAATATCAACGCTATCGCAAACAAGGTTCAACGTAGAACAAACTTTTCGTAGAAACATCCCGTCATATTATCCTATCATCCTGAAATACTTCCTCGACTCGGTGAAACCGAGGACGAGGTACGATAATCAATCTTCAAGGAGGATAGCCAAAAACGAGGCAAACTTCGCAACACGGTATCCGATGGTGGAGGATCGAATGTCAGGGAGGCGGTGAAAGTAGGAAAGAATCAATTAGGCAACGGTTGCATAATACATCAGCGGATGAAACGGCAGCGCGTAGTCGAAGTTAAGGAGCCTAAGCCTCCCGTGGGAGTAGAAGAACGGCCACCTATCCTCGTTTCGGCCACCCCTAGCTCGCGTCTTCCGCGCGCAGCGGAGGAAGCGAGCAAGCAACTTCTAGGTTTGATTTATTATTAAATCGTTGGCTGCCTAAGGCATCCGTGGCTCGTCTTTGCCTGAACCAAGGTCGGCTAAGTAGACGAAAAGCTTGCACCGCGAAATCTTCCCGACCGTCTCGACGCTTAACTTCCCCTCTCTGCTGGTTGCCGCTATCTCTTTCTCCCTTCGACTGATACGGTAATAGCATTTCCTGCGAGAAGAGATTTCAGCAGAAAGGATTCCCGTGTAGAATATTATCCGAATTAGACGCTCCGCGAATTTACCTCACCCTTCGTCGTATATATGTATGTACAGTTTAGGTGTGTGTGTGTTTTGGATGTAGGGGTGTGTATACGAGTGTATACGTTTGCGGAAGCGCGTTAAGCTCAGAGTCGCGATACCCGTCACTCTAAACTGCTTTCCGTTACCAGGAAACATATTGCGCGGTGGAATACGCCGGTGTCTTAATATTCTTGTCGAGATACGTCGCTGTGGCGTGATTTATTTCGGGGTTGTATGTTGGGGGTGGTTTGAACGTGTTTTTGGAATAGTTGGAGTGTGGTGGTTTGTGCGATTTGTTTAAAATGGGGTGGAGAGAGGGTGTTTTGAATGTTGGAGGTGGTTTGACTGTGTTTGGAGAGTAATTGTGTTTATAGAGAGCAAAAGTATGATACTCTACGTAATTTATTGAAAAGTATGGCGATGAAATATGGAGGGTGTTAAGAAGAAAGGGTGTTTTGAATGTTGGAAGTGGTTTGATTGTGTTTGAAGAGTAACTGTGTCCATAGGAAATTGAAACACTGTAGTTTGCGTAATTTATAAGAATATATAGCAGGGAAGTATACAGGGTGTTAAAAATAGATGATCTTTTGGACGTTCCAAGTGGTTTGATTGTGTTTGAAGAGTAACTGTGTCCATAGGAAATTGCAGCATCGTAATCTGCGTAATTTATAAAAATATATAGTGAAGAGGTGTACAAGGTGTTTAAAAAGGAGGGTTTTTTGAACGTTGGGAGTGGTTTGACTGTGTTTGAAGAGCAACTGTATCCATAGGAAGCAAAAATACGATACTCTACGTAATTTATTAAAAAATATGGCTAAGAAATATAGAGAGTGTTCAAAACAAGGGGTCCTCTGAATGTTGGAAGTGGTTTGACTGCGTTTGAAGAATAACTATGTAAAAAATTTGGCAGAGAAACACACTGGGTGTTAAGAAAACAGTATCTAACAATTTCTCACATTAGTTCAAACTTTCCTAACCATAAAAAATCACCGATATAAAAAAGAAGAACACTTGACAGAAGCTACTTATTCCTGATCTCACTCACGACATGGAACTCACTTTGATTAATCATCTCTCACACCTCCAACACCCTCTAGACTTCCTCCCCCCAAAAATCCCATCGAACATAAAATACTCCACCTTACAAATTCCACCAAACGTAAATCAGGAAAGTATCACAGAGTGATATTCTCCGAACATTCTTCCACGCAACAAGATACTTCACCACTTGAGGAACAATCAGACCAAATTCATCTCCTCGATTACCCAAAAGACGGAGTGGGGAGGGGGGTGGCGCGGTTCAAAGGAACTTCATCCACACCGAAATAATTCAACTCACCGTAGTTGCCGGCCAGTACCAGCTATCAGGTTTAAAGGGGGGGGGGGGGGTTGGCCGCTGGCGGCGAAAGCAGCAGCAGGAGGAGGAAGGGTGGCGCGCGACAAAGCCGTATTAAAATTGATAATATTCCGCGAGGCGAGAGACGGTTCGCTCGAGTCCGTAAATTAATCAGAAGGCCTCGGTGACGCGTAACAGAAACGCGTCTCCCGTTTATCTTCAACATTTTCCGCGCGGTCCAATCTAATTACCGCGTGTTTATCCCGGGAAGCGGAGCGTAACAAATGTAACGGCGTTTCGTTAAGAAAGAAAAAATGAAGAAACGAGAAAAATTGTGTACTGGAGAGAGAGAGGGATAGAGAAGGAAAATCTCACACGGACAAACAGAGAGCATTGAAACATGAGAGATAACAGGAAGCGTCGTAAGAATATCTATATATAGTA